AGGGAAACCGGTTATTTTTATATAGCCGGACTTGAGTCCTGGAAATGGGAAGTACAATGTCTGCACTCTAAAGGAGGGGTTCTGGGATATTAGCAGTTTGGAGGGATATGTTGTGTATCTTTATACGTATATGCTTCTAAACTGTTGTGTTCTGAACACCTCTGCAAAAACAGTGATTATGTGTGAGTGAGGTGAAAGTGTTGAATTATGATGAAAGTATTTTCTTTTTGAGGATTTTCTCTCTTTTTGGGTCACCCTGCCTCGGTGGGAGACGGCCGACTTGTTGAAAAAAAAATGGTTTAGAAAGTCGCGTAAGCAAACACCATGACATATTTATTAGAAAACGTTTCGGTCCTGGGACCTTGATCACTTCTAACATACAGAGGTAGAAAGACATATAATAATGTCTTTCAGAGGTAGAAAGACATATAATAATGTCTTTCTACCTCTGTTTGTTAGAAGTGATCAAAGTCCCAGGACCGAAACGTTTTCTAATAAATATGTCATGGTGTTTGCTTACGTGTCTTTCTAAACCAACTTGTCGGTATTTATTGCCAAGGTTTATACCATGTGTATGTATGTATATATATTTAAAAAATCAGAATGGCTGGGATCTGAAGCTTGACATTACTATAGGTAATATGAAATACTTGCTTATAAAGGACGCCTCACGGTTATTTCAGTGCTTTCTTAATTAGCTTCACTCGTTAACATTAATTACCTAGAATCTTACCATAATTATTTTAAGATTCTAGGTAATTAATGTTAACGAATGATTTGTCAATAGTTCTAGAATGATTATTATTTTAAGGACTTATAAAAGTAATTATATTTAAAATTGTTTTATGTAGACCCAGACAGAAGGAATTATTTATCTGGATTATCTGTTGCCGTGATGTTATAGGTATTCATTACTAATGATAAAAAAATATATTTATAATTTTAGATTGATGAGTCAGGTAACATCAAGGTTCCCTGTTGTTTTTGTTTACTTGCTTAGATGTTTTTGTTGATGTCTTGTTTTGCTGTTTCTGTTGTTTACTGGTTTAGATGTTTTTATTGATGTCTTGTTTTATTGTTGTTGTCGATATCTCACTATTTATATTATTATTATTGTAATTATTATTATTATTATTATTATTATTATTATTATTATTATAATTATTATTATTATTATTATTATTATTATTATTATTATTATTATTATTATTATTATTATTATTATTATTATTGTTATTATTATTATTTATTTATTATTATTATTATTATTATTATTATTACATTAAGCATGTTATTTAAGCAAACATTTTACAGGATTAAGGCTAAATTGTGAAAAATAAAGGAACTAATTTTGGATTTCAAATAATTAAAATAGCCATTATATATATATATATATATATATACATATATATATATATATATATATATATATATATATATATATATATATATATATATATATATATATATATATATATATATATTATATATATATATATATATATATTATATTTTATTTCGTCAAAAATGTTTAAAGGAACGCCTCTTTAAAGACAAAAACAAAGTATCGCGGAAGACATACAAAGTTAACTAGTTCAAGGAAATTTCTGAGTAAAGAAACAAGAGAATATATGTGGGAAGAAATTCAGGTGCAAGAAATGATTATTCGTTATCAACATCTTTATTAAAATAATAATAATAATAATAATAATAAAAATAATAACAGCAACAACAACAAAAACAACAACAACAACAACAACAATAATATTAATAATAATAATAATAATAATAATAATAATGTCAATAACAATAACAGCAACAACAACAAAAACAACAATAATAATAATAATAATAATAATAATAATAATAAATAATAATAATAATAATAATATCAATAACAATAACAGCAACAACAACAAAAACAACAACACAACAACAACAACAACAACAACAATAATAATAATAATAATAATAATGATAATAATAATAATAATAATAATAATAATAATCGTTATTTTCAATGCATATTCTGTAAAACACACGTTAGGAAAGAAGCGCAAGACTTTGCTTATTCCTCCTACCCTTCTGGCCAGTTGGTCAAGAGTTTCCCCTACGAAAAATCGTGGAAGACCTTCCCTCCTACCCACTGACAAGAAGAATTACCAACCAGGTTAAATTTCTGACGGTAACTGTGAGGGGAAAGAATTCCTGGCAATATCATGCGCTCGTCTGACACGGTGTCTTCAAGACGTATGAATAAGAAACTGTGGTGTAGGCGCGTCTCTGGCAAGACAGTGATGGAGGGAATAATGATGGAAGTGTTTCTTTTTTCCCGAGTCACCCTGCCTTAAAAATTATTTTATTAATGCCGATGTGTTACGAAAATAATTGTTATGGATAGAAAATTGTATTTTCCTTCTTTCTCTTCGGTTTTTATTAAAAAAACAGATGACATGAAGATTCGGTATTTTACTTGTTAGGGTTTTAAAGCCTTTTAACTGCACGAAGGATATGAACAAGAGGAAAGAATTACAAATAGGAGACAAAAAGAGGAGATGGTGGATGGGGAAGATAATGGAAATAAAGGATAATTGGGAAACAAGATAAGAAAAGGGAGTGGGGGGGAGGGAGGAAGAAATCTGATAATCATGATGAAGAGTTAAAGTCGTGAGGGAGAGATCGTGAGGGAGAGATTGTGAGGGAGAGATTGTGAGGGAGAGATTGTGAGGGAGAGATCGTGAGGGAGAGATTGTGAGGGAGAGATTGTGAGGGAGAGATCGTGAGGGAGAGATTGTGAGGGAGAGATTGTGAAGGAGAGATTGTGAGGGAGACATCGTGAGGGAGAGATCGTGAGGGAGAGATGGAAGATAGGGAAGGAAGGGAGAGAAGAAAGAGAGGGAATTAAGAAGGGGACAATAAAACAAGTAGAGAGACAAGTGAAGAAGACATCTTATGAAGAATTAACGAGATGAGACTGATAACTGAGAGATTTACTGAGGGAAGGAGAGAGAGGAGAAGGGAACGACAGAAGAGGAGAAGGGAACGACAGAAGAGGAGAAGGGAGCGACAGAAGAGGAGAAGGGAACGAGAGAAGAGGAAAAGGGAACGACAGAAGAGGAGAAAAGAAATTAGAAAACTGAAGAGGAGGGAAGTAAGAAAAAAAAAGGAATATCTAAAATAAACACGTTAAAGTTAAGGAAAGAGAGATAGTGAAGGATTATGAAAGAAATTTCAGGAACAGTGACAATAACAAATATTGTTGAAAGACAACAATGAACGGGAACAACACACGAAAGATGAACTTCCATAACCTGTACCTCTTATTATACAAATAGTCTTAGCGCTTGATGCAAGATAAAACAAGCTATGAAACTCCAATATTATTATACCTGACACATGGTTTAATTTGAAGAGTCGGGACGTGTCTGCCAGATGCCACATTCAGGGTTTAAATTGTTCCACGTTGAGAGAAGAGCATAAAGAGAGTGGGAGGGAGGTGCTATTTATCAGTGAAAGCATGAATTTCTTCATGAAAAAATGTAAGTGCTGAAGGAATACTCATTTAATCTATCAGGGTAGAATTTCCAGAACAAGATAATGAATTTAGGTTCATTGTATCGATCAAAGTACTTAGAAAGTATGGTATAAACCTTGGTAATAAATACCGACAAGTTAATTTAGAAAGACACGTTATAGTGTTTGCTTACATGTCTTTCTAAACCAACTTAGAAAGTATCCAGGAAGGACTGCTAGGGGAGGAAATATTTAAATCTACAATATACTAAAATGTACTAATCTTGGGAGAAATTAGAACTAAATTGATTGCAATTCATTGAGTAGGAATCAAGAGACCAGAATCTTCCTGAAGGTTGAGCAAGATTGCCTTTTAACATCACTTAGCGACAAGCAACTAGACATAACAACGTACTTGACCTAGTTTGGGCAAACAAGAAGACCCTCATAAATAATATAGATATCACAGGGTCGCTTTCAATATTACATGAAAATATAATAATTTCATAACTGAAATTAAGATTACAGATTTTTGTTCAGTAAATTACAGTGGACTCACTGAAAGCTCTAATCTACTCTAGAAAGAATTCTAAGCTAATAAGTCAAGCTGGATAGAATCAGATTAGAGAAGGATATAGAAAAACGCTTGTTTGGCAAAATAATTGTGGATGATTGCAACAGTCTGCCAAGTTATTGAAGCTAATACCTGAGGAAGCTTCGATATTAACTTAGACAAATATATGAAAAGGGTGTCTTTTTGGCAGGAGTTGCCTCTTCTGCTCTGAAGAAGCAACTCATGACGATACGCTGCATGAGCGAAAAGGGTCGAATTTGATGAGAACTCTGCCTACCATGATGAACCATTAGGCCAACTGCAGAGTTCCATTATTTTTAATGCTTTTAAAAAAGAGAAAAATAAGGTTTAAAGAGGTAATAAAAAGATGATAAGTGAGACGTATGCAGCACCTGGTCATTTTTACGAAGAGACGTTTCGCTCACACAGCAAGTCTTATCAGTCCCAACTTTGGAGCGTGAGTGCTCTTCGCTGCCTCACGAGAACGATGCAGCACAGACAACCAGTCAACAATTCACATCTACTCAGCTGCGTCTCAGTAGAAATACCCAGGTGATGCTTATATATTGTACTCGTCAACGTGTCGATATTACACGTTTTATATAGTGAAAGAAAGTTACGGGTGAATGATGCAAAGTTTAGGGTTGAGAAAGAGAGAATATTAAGGGTGAGGAATGAAAGACAACTTAAGGTGAGGAAATAGAGAAAGGAAAAGCGGATGTGAGTTGCACAGTGTCCTGGTGTTCGAGAGAAGGAAGAGAGGAAGAGGAGGAGGAGGGGGAGTAGGCGTTGGAGGAGGAAGAGGAGGAGGAAGCGTTGGAGGAAGAGGAGGAGGAAGCAGGAGGCGCGTGTGTTCGTGCATGCGTGGTGGTGTTTTGAGGGCGGCGGGGCAGGTCAGGCAGTGAGGATCAGACCACCTCCGGCGGCGCTGACGGCAGGTTGCTGCGGCTCTCGCGTCTTCAAAGCCGCCGCCGCCGCCACACGCCATTGACACCACGCCGTAACACTACGCTCGTAACACCACACCCATCACGCCACACCCGTAACACCACACCCATCACAACACACCCGTAACACCACATCCATCACACCACACCTGTAACACCACATCCGTAACACCGCGTCCGTCACACCCTCTTGAACGACAAGTACACCACTCCAACTATCGCTTTTGACCTCGTTTTGAAAAAAAAAGTTTGTTTCTAAACTATAGGTGAATATTTTCTCGTGTCCAGGCAAATTTTTTTCGTATTTTTTTATTTATTTTTTTTTAATGAGTGAAATGTGATTTAAAAACAAACTTCTTTGCCATAATACAGTTATATCTCGCTTGATAAAAAAAAAGAATAACGACGTTTATACTTTTGTGAAACACACCTTGGTGGTGAGAAAAAATGAAATAATGGTAAAAAACCTGTTTAAACATTAGTAAACACTACATTGAAAACTGTTGACGTGTTTCTGTTGCGAACTTATTACCTGGACCCCGGAGACAGCCTGGACACCGACCAGTGCTGTCATTCCAGAGGTCAGCCGTTGCTGTCAACCCGGGGATCAGCAGCCGTGGAAGGAGGAAGAGAGACGGGAAAGTTGTTTCTCTCTGAGTGTCTTTCATCCACTCGTCACACAAGCCATAAAAGCCAGGGGACTTGTTGATTCTCACGTCCCTCTATGCATTCTCTCTCTATCTCTCTTTCTCTCTCTCTCTCTCTCTCTCTCTCTCTCTCTCTCTCTCTCTCTCTCTCTCTCTCTCTCTCTCTCTCTCTCTCTCTCTCCTCTCTCTCTCTCTCTCTCTCTCTCTCTGAAAACAAGATGAAAACCGACTTGAATATTTACCATGTGCTTGTACGTGAGCTCGTACACCACTTTGATCCGTGACGAACTACCATGTGATCCCCTGACTGCGTGGACTACGAGAAATAGTGGGTTTATCCTACCAAGATCCTGTCTACCTTATATTCTGTGATCCTCCCATGGCGTCGAACGTCGGAACTTTCGCTTCTGAACTCTCAAGTTTCCTTCTGCCTTGTCTGATGGCATGAAGAGTGGGAGCTCGTAGCTCTGAACTTCGGAGCTCTTGTCTGCCTCTTGAGACTGAGGCAACATAGCGAACCAAACGAGGTACAATAATTCACATTTGCCCAGCTGCTAAAGTAAGATTAATACTGACAACAAACTCAAAAGAAAATAGTCTGTAAATATAGACGGCTATCTTGAAGCTATTTATAGATGGCAAGAAAATGCAGCTTACGAGAAGGCGAATGAAAGACAGTTGAGAACGATTTCAGGAAAGCTTGAGGACCGTCAATGAATCAGCTAAAGCTGACTCATTGACGGGAAACAGTCTTATTTTTCGAGTCCTTTTATTTCTTAACTCGTTTTAAAAAAATTTATATGTGGTTTACGAAGGAAAATTATTATATTTGGCGCTGATTAGCTTTGCTGGTCCTAAAATTAGATTGAAGATTTTTTATTTTCGTTTCATATGAATATGATTTGCTTTTCTTTCAAATATAATAGATAAATATTGCGATTAAAGAAAAAAACCGATTAATTTTTAACAGGTGTTTTTATTGACAAATGTGTGAACCTCAGAACCAGTGCAACTTAATGAAGGACAACCCAGTTCCAACTCAGCCAATCAAAGCGCAAATTAATTCAAGAGATACACATCGCAGGCGGCCAGTATAAGGAGGAAAAAACTAATTCTCTGTGTCTGATCTGACAAGCGCTTGAAATCCTAGAGAAATGAGAACACAAGTGCAAAACCATGCCAAGTGAAGAGAAAGCAACAACGAGATGAACATGAGTCGTAAATAACAGCCAGAGTCCCCATGACAGCTAGAGAGTGCCCATGACAGCCAGAGAGTGCCCATGACAGCCAGAGAGTGCCCATGACAGCAGAAATGTAGCTGCAATTGCAGCAAAAAGACCATTTAGGGGAGAGGCAGGGAGCAGGGTTGGCGGAAGCATGGAACATCCAGCCTCAGCTACCTGCGCTCCCACACCTCCTCCCCTCGACGGGGTCGGTCTGAACGGCCCCCGCGCTAGCTCACAGCTGAGGTACACGGCAAACATAATCTCTCCACGAGACACTAACAAAAGTGAAAGGGGAGAAACAAATATACCGCTAATGATGCATGTATGCTCGTGCATCTTCATGTGAGAGCAGCCGTGATTGAAAGAAGTGATATCAGATTACGGAGTTGAAATATAAAGAGTTAACATCAAGGAACAAGTTCAGGGAGCACTCCACTTCCGACTGTCGCCCTAGTCAATACACTGGTAAGTAACCTCGCAGCATTTCCTGTCACAATTATCAAAAAACAGGTGTTAATTACTATTAGTTTACACATGACATATACTCATTAAGTTATAAACACGGTCTGATTAGAATTATTATTTTTTTGCATATTGTTACTCGTCCTTGACCCCCCCCCCCAGGTGCATATTCATTCAAGTGTACTCTTGTCGTATTGATTATACGGTCCCTACGATACTTTTATAGCCTCCCTGTGCACACGTGTGTGAGTGTACGTGTCCTTGAGCTACTCCGTTTGTCTGTTTCCCAGTGCTCTCAGTGTCACTCGTTGACGCTTACTAGACACTGGTATTTGACTAGCGATATCGTAATACAGTAAACGCTTATTGAGCTCCTCTGTATAGCGTGATTTTTTAATTAGTAAATGCGGTTGAAAAAAGTGCATTCAAAATTGTGCATTCGAAATTGCTATTCATAATACCTGCTATTTTACGTTGAATGCAGTTTTTGAACTGCGTTAGTAGAAAATCGCGCTGTATACAAGAGCTTTAAAAGAGACCTTAATTGTATTGACAATATTGCAAACAACTCACAGAATGGTATACGGTTACCGCTTTATCAGCACATCGGTAAATGAATGGAAGAAGACAAGTGAATGCATCTTTCCTGGATGAGTTTCGAACCTGGGACCTTGGTCACTGCGAGCTCCCAGGATCGAAATGTGTTTTGAACGAAGCTATTATCGTATGTATGCACTAGTATTCTTATTCCTGTTTAATCGCTATCATTACAGGAAAAAAAATGGTGACAGAGCATTTTGAATATTGAGAGAACATCTGAACACTGAGAGAACATCTAGAACACTGGGAGAACATCTCGAGACATTACAAGAAGCAGTTTTGAGGTGGTGAGTCCCTCAGCCTTGACAGGAGGCGATCAGTCCCTGAACCTAAACCAGAGGCATGCGACCAGGCCTTATTTACTGTAGCACAAGTGAGGTGTAGCAGCTGGAGGTAATGTCACAGGTAAGCATGGCTCATTAGAGGAGGCAGGTCATGCTGAAGAGTTGCATAGAAAAAAATTGAAGAAGTCTTCCTACGTATCAAGATACAATGGCGTTGCTGTGTCAGTCAATTATTATATTAATGATGGTATATAACGACAAGTTGAGGAACACATGTGCTATACTTGGGTATCTTTTTCTGCCGAAACATTTCGCCTGTTTAGCATGACCTGCTTCTGCTAGTGGGCAACGCTCACCTACGAAATCACCTCCAGCTGCTACACCTCACTTCTGCTCCAGTGTGGCCGGATGCCCCTGCCTTAGGATGAGAAAATGACCATAACCTATCAAGGCTGAAGGACTGACCATCTCAGAACTATCACTTATTCTGTCTCCAGTGTTAGATTCGCCTCTATTCGACTGAAGAAACCTTCGACATTCTTCATCAACTTCAAGATATTATATACCATCAATCTATGATGTCTGGCTGCCTTTCCTATGCTTCATTACATGACCACTTATTATTATATCAGTGGTCTACAATACAGTTACTAGTTACTGGCTTGAAGCTTTACGACTCGCCATGCGTTCAACCCCCACCCGTTCCGTGGATTGTTTACAATTGTTACTACGATTTCATGAGTGTCAGCAATGTCAGACACACTGAATAACTGTGTGTTACCCAGGCAGGACACCGCGATCATGTAACCTGACACGACACCACTGACTTGACGTCTCCCGTAACATGCTTCTCTGCTCCTTTATGCTGTAAATCTTTCTTTCGTTCCTTGTACTGGACGGTTGAAGCTGTCAGTGAAAGACCCGCGTCTTATTGAAAAAATATTTTATGTTGGAGTGATATCTGCGTAAGTTGACAGTCTTTACGCTTATGTTGGCTGTCTGTATACTTATGTTGGCTGTCTGTATACTTATGTTGGCTGTCTGTATACTTATGTTGGCTGTCTGTATACTTATGTTGGCTGTCTGTATTCTTATGTTGGCTGTCTGTATACTTATGTTGGCTGTCTGTATACTTATGTTGGCTGTCTGTATACTTATGTTGGCTGTCTGTATACTTATGTTGGCTGTCTGTATTCTTATGTTGGCTGTCTGTATACTTATGTTGGCTGTCTGTATACTTATGTTGGCTGTCTGTATACTTATGTTGGCTGTCTGTATTCTTATGTTGGCTGTCTGTATACTTATGTTGGCTGTCTATATACTTATGTTGGCTGTCTGTATACTTATGTTGGCTGTCTGTATTCTTATGTTGGCTGTCTGTATTCTTATGTTGGCTGTCTGTATACTTATGCTGGCTGTCTGTATTCTTATGTTAGCTGTCTGTATTCTTATGTTGGCTGTCTGTATACTTATGTTGGCTGTCTGTATACGTATGTTGGCTGTCTGTATACTTATGTTGGCTGTCTGTATACTTATGTTGGCTGTCTGTATACTTATGTTGGCTGTCTGTATTCTTATGTTGGCTGTCTGTATACTTATGTTGGCTGTCTGTATTCTTATGTTGGCTGTCTGTATTCTTATGTTGACTGTCTGTATTCTTATGTTGGCTGTCTGTATACTTATGTTGGCTGTCTGTATACTTATGTTGGCTGTCTGTATTCTTATGTTGGCTGTCTGTATTCTTATGTTGGCTGTCTGTATTCTTATGTTGGCTGTCTGTATACTTATGTTGGCTGTCTGTATACTTATGTTGGCTGTCTGTATTCTTATGTTGGCTGTCTGTATACTTATGTTGGCTGTCTATTCTTATGTTGAGTGTCTGTATAATTATGTTGGCTGCCTATTATGTTGACCCTCAATATACTGATTTTGGCAATTTATTCATTTATATTAAGCCTCTACTCTTGTGATAACTGTCCTATTCTGTTAGCCGTCCTCTTGTGTTACCTGTCTGTCCTCTTGTGTTACCTGTCTGTCCTCTTGTGTTACCTGTCTGTCCTCTTATGTTACCTGTCTGTCCTCTTGTGTTACCTGTCTGTCCTCTTGTGTGCTAACAGTCTGTCCTCTTGTGATACCTGTCTGTCCTCTTGTGTTATCTGTCTGTCCTCTTGTGTTAATAGTCTGTCCTCTTGTGCTAGCAGAGTGGCCGCCTATGTTAGTAGTATATGCATTTATATTAACAGCAAATCAACTTGTTGAAAGTCTATCTACTTCTGTTAGCATTTATCTACTCCTGTTAGCATTTACGTTTTCAGTACGATTACTTGTGTGGTGTAGGGAATTCTGAAGATAAATGGTTTGAGCAATAGATGAGGCATTTCCCCTCCCTTAGCTCCACAGAAATCTCTTGTACACGTTGTGGCTGTGTCGGTTCAGCTATGGATTGTTAACTGTAGACTTTTAGCTGTAAATTTTTACCTGTAAACTTTAGATTTTCAGCGGTTTACTTTCTATCTCAACACTTACGTTGCGGTTTATTTTCTTAGGTGTCAGTGTTTTGTTGTGTATCGTCCGTGCGATGATGTGTGAGTGTATGTGTAAGGCAAAATGCTTGTGCGCCGGCATTCGCGTGTGCGAATATGCGTGTGTGCATGCATGCGTGCACTCCAAACACATTTTTTTGATACGAACATGCATGTGTGTGTACTTGTCGAGTCTCTGGGAGGGATAGTGGGAGGGCCGTGTCTCGCCTCCTGGCCATGCTTTTCAATCGATTGACGTGGATTCTAGCATATTGATCCCTCTCATCTTTACTCTCGAAGCTGTGCATAGATCTTGTTTCCACCACATCATCCATTACATCCTTTCCCTTTTTTGTTACATCGTATAAGTAAAGAAGCACTTTCTAATATACCTTCTTCTCATTTCTGTGTTTACTTTCCATCAGTGTCCCCTGGTCGTCTTTCATCTCATTTTAAAAGTTCTCACCCTATCTCGGTATCTTATCCTTTAAGTAGGGTCTGGGTGCCTAATGCCGGTGTTAGGAGCTGTTGATTCAGTGAACTGGTATTACCTTTTCTTTTTCTGGAATCAAGAGTGAGTGCCTAATACTCTTGTTCTCCAAAACTCTAATGATAATATTCTGGGTATTTTACATATCGTTGCTATGTCTCCCAAAGTTATTGAGTCCTCCAGGTTCATTGGATTCTGGTTTAAATTTTTCTCCATGGTCCTGGAGCTAGTGTAGTTGTAACCATGTGAATTTTTATTTTTCTCTATCTATCTTTTAAACTTGATGGACCAGGTGTGACACTAAGCTGGCGCAGCATACTCTAGTCGTTTACCTGGAGTTTACCTGGAGAGGGTTTCGGGGGTCAACGCCCCCGCGGCTCGGTCTGAGACCAGGCCTCACAGTGGATCAAGGTCTGATCAACCAAGCTGTTACTACTGGCCACACACAAGCTGACGTACGAACCACAGCCCGGTTGGTCAGGTACTGACTTTAGGTACCTGTCCAGTGCTTTCTTGAAGACAGTCAGGGGTCTATTGGTAATCCCCCTTATGTAGGCTGGGAGGCAGTTGAACAGTCTTGGACCCCGGACACTTATTGTGTTGCCTCTCTATGTACTCGTTGCGCCCCTGCTTTTCATTGGGGGAATGTTGCATCTCCTGCCGAGTCTTTTGTTTTCATAGGGAGCGATTTTCGTGTGCAGGTTTGGTACCAATCCCTCTAGGACCTTCCAAGTGTATATTATCATGTATCTCTCTCACCTGCGTTCCAGGGAATACAAATCAAGGACCTTCAACCGTTCCCCAGTAATTTAGGTGCCTTATCATGTTTATGTGTGTCGTGAAAATTTTTTGTACACTCTCCAGGTCTGAAATGTCGCCAGCCTTGAAGGGGGCTGTTAGTGTACAGCAGTATTCCAGCCTAGAGAGCACAAGCGATTGGTGTCTCTAGTTTTGAAGGTTCTCATTATCCATCCTACCATTTTCCTAGCAGATGAGGTAGATACATTGTTGCGGTCTTCGAAGGCGAGGTCCTCTGACATTATCACTCCCAGGTCCTTCACATTGCTTTTCCGCTCTATTGTATGGTTAGAATTTGTCTTGTACCCT